CTATGGCGAAGACTAATTTCGCGACTAATCCTTTATGTCCAATAGCATTTCTGTAATTGGTGTGTAGATAGATGCCGATTTCTCTAGCTCAGCACGTCCTGTGCCCCAATAGGGGACTTTCGGGGCCTATGGCCCCCCGGACGAAAAATATACATAACATAACATAACATACTCCCGTCAGGCAGACGTTTGTGCAGGCGGCTGATTACGACCCTGGAGACTTATCACTTTATATAGACAATATATCTCATACATAGCTTGCATCCCTGTAGGCTGCCTAAAGACGTCTCAATATTAGGTAATGAAAATAAAGACATAAAAGACTTGACCAATTATCTTGGCACTAACTACGCACTCTACTAAAGGATGTCTGTCATCTGGCAACTCTTCATAAACCCTAATATCAGTCCCCTCTTGTCAACCGGGGAGAAGCGATAAATTCTCTGCCTTGTCCATAAAACCAGCTATCTTCCTCAGCAGCTTCTTCTCCATTTAACGCTTCCCGGGTGGCTTGCCATCAATCTCGTCGCAACTCTGCCGCAGACCAGCCAACTCGTACATAAGAATGACTCGACAAATAGCCACTCCTGCAATGTACCTTCCAACAATTATTAAGGCGTCTTGCATACCGACGAAAAGCATGCCTGAGAAAATAAGGGTACCAAAAAGAATGTGAAGAATTGTAATAGTCGATTGCAACCAAGACAATACTAAGAATGTTTTGGTCTCTGGAAAAGAGTAAATTTTCGCAACGTATTTTGTTGAGGAGCATGGGAATAACTCAGTTGTGGTTATGATGTTCATTAGCCTTGGTCCAATACCTTTAATCCAGTACATTACGGAGCTAAGATTCTGCGCCCAGGACTTCAGAAACTTTATGAACCCCAATTGCTTCTTTTTTTCCTTTGACCACTGCCGAGTAAGATTTTTATCGGTCTCGGCAGTGGAGGATTCTCGGGTCCTTGACCCGCGAAGACGAAGTCGAGAGATAAAACAAGCTGCAATATGCAGAGCGATGCCAACAGCCAGCCATAATCCAGGAAGGAAGTCGGCATCTGGTGAGAAAGCAAAGATGGCCCGATAGTTGGCTTTCAAGGTGTTATCCAAAACATTATAGCACGCTGCCGTGGTGACAAGGTATTCCGCTGCTGATATTAACAGCTGCGAGTAGACCGCTCCTGGGCGCCATTGCACATATCTGTTTCCATCGACGCTGAGAATATCAATAGGATTAGAGTACTCAAATGCCCTGCTGAAATATGCCGAGGGTGAGGCCAAAGCCAAACCAGCGGCAAGGAGTGGCCTTCTACCAACATTGCAAAGCATGGCGATCTCATCGTGTGAGGGGCCGAGGAGAGCAATGATGGTGGGCATGACACCAAGTACGACCTGAGCGCCTGTCATGGCGAACTTAAGGTATTCGGATGTGTGATCCAGAATGCACTCAATGAGCGGTTGGGTAATAGCCGTGTAGATACCTCCGCCGCCGAGAAAGTCAATCTCCGAGTGGTTCTTGAACCCAGTCAAGTATTTGTCATATTCGGCGGTGCAGTTGACCTTGACGATTGTCTCAAAGATCCATCCAAATTGAGGGTACCAATGCTTGAATTGCTTGGTGGATGTTACTGCAACAGCGGGTTGAATGGTAGTAGCATAAACAAGAGAAAAAAAGACAAAGGTGCTCGATTTCAAGTTATAAAACGACATCTTGGTAAAGTCTTGAAACCCAGGTCAGTCGGATAAAATGGATTTGCAGCCTGATTTAGGACCTGGCTGAGAGGAGAGAGCTTTTAAAACCATTTAACAAACCAGGCTGTGGATTTCAGCTGAGGAGGACACCTGAAAATACAATAGTGGGGTAGCTTGGCGTCTATAAATAGTACATCCATTATTACGGCGGACCCACATCGAGATGTGGTTATCTGATAAGGGAGTCTGATATCGATAACGATAACGATTTGTAGATAAGTCACTACTGACTATTAAAGGGAAAATCGCTTAAAGGGAATCTTCCCTTCTTGAAGCTTTAGTTAATATAATACCGTTAAATTGTTGGGAGATTCAGAATCCAGACTGTTTAATGTCGGTTAGTGCAGTATCCTCTTTGTGACTGACTTTGTGAAATAGTAATCTTAATTTCGGATGATGTTGTTTCAGACACTTGCATCCATGATATACTGGCGCTAGTCACAATGGTGCATGCTCTCTCTCGCGATCTACGCCAATGGTTTACTGCACTTCTTTACCACCAGACCCTTTCAACGCATGACGTTGGAATACGACAAAGTGCCACCATTTCTTGTGCAAATAGTACTAAGGCTACTATTGATATAGCTTCGACATTTGTCAAGACACACAGAGGTTTGATAGGATGGCCAACCATATAATCGCATCCGGCCCGTTTGACTGCGATGACGTGATATTTCTTTATGACATCTTCCTCCAACGAAGGGCAAGTACATTTGGTTCAATAGAACACACATAAGCCTAACGAACAGAGGATCTCCTAAGAAAATACCTTGGGAATAACGGTATGACGCTGAAAAATCGTGCTGCATTGCATGCGTTCCCCAATGATGATGGCTTGCAGAGGTGTTCTCCCTATTAGCTGCCGCTAGTTCCTTTGTCCGGAAAGTCTACCTTCTGGGACCTTGCTAGTGAAAACAGAATCTGCTACCTGATTTATTTACAGAATCCATTTCCTCCAGTCAGTCTTGATCTCTTCCTTCTTAATGCGTAAGCGGATGTGCGCTTGTTGCCAATATGCTTCGACCCGCATTCATTTAGCTTCATCCACGTAGGAACCAAAGACAGGTGACCTCTGGTTTATCCCACTTATCACGCGGAAATGGCGACTCTGGGCTTCGGGTAGCGCTTAGAGTTTCATCGACGATGGGGATCCAGCAACATTCCTCGGGAGGGCCTCGGGAGGGCCTGAGCGCATGGGCCATTGAGTCTTGTTAAGTCCCCACATGCTAAGAACGTTGTGCATTTTGCCAAATAAGCTCAGTTGTCGAGATTAAGTCATCGAGAGAGTGATAAATCTACACCGCGATCCTGACAAAGAAATTATGGAGGATCTGTAGTTGAGACTTGTGGCTGAGAGCTTAAACAAGCAGGGAGAACTTGGAGGACTTGCATTTAGACCTCGGCTATCTCAAAATTAACAATGTTGTGACATAAGAAATACACTTCCACCTGGATAGCCTGACCTGGTCTGCATAACCCCCTTTCGTTGAAGCTTTGTAATTATCACGCATCACGATGTTGTCAAGAGTGGGATGTTCGGCTGAGTTGTTTGGGAGCTTCGGTCTATCCCACATGACCTCTGACCGTTACTTTTAGGTACTGTAAACAATCATACTCATTTATTATATTAATTCAAGTGCTATCGCAAAGATTCGTGCTATTCTCCAATCCACCTGTTTCTTAACCTTCTTGCCCCTCTTATCCTCACATAGCCAAATCACAATCGAGGCCAACGTTCCGCAAAGTACAATCTTCGAAGCCATGGCTCTTACACTGGAATATCTGCATGCCCATTTCCGTGGCGGTATGTCACTTTCTATCAATAGGCTCTGTTTTGAAGCTCATTTATAATACAGTCATAACTCAACCGCAAGATGATCTCTTTGGTCCTCTTCGTCGTCGATTCTCGGAGAATGAAGAAGGAGATCCGAAGTTGATTCTCCAGCCATCCTCTGAAGATGACATATCACTCGCAGTGAGATATGCCGTCTCCAACAAGCTGGAGCTGGCTGTGTGCAGCCAAGGCCATTCATTTCTCGGGGCATCGAGCTCTGACGGTGTCATCATTGATCTTCGTCGCCTTCGAACCGTCTGGGTTGATAATGAGAAGTACGGCAGCGAAGGCATTGTCACCATGGAAGGCGGCGCGAGCGTTAGCGACGTAGCCCTTGCTTGTGAGGAGAAGGGAGTGTTCTTGCCTCTTCCTTCTCACAAGGAGCTCGGTTACGCCGGATTTTCCCTTGGCGGGGGCTTCGGCTGGGGAATGGGTGTCGCTGGCTTGGCAATTGATCTCTTAGTGGAAGCGACAATTGTTCTTGCGAGTGGGGAGATCGTCACTTGCTCAGAAGACCAGAACCCAGAGCTATTCTTTGCGATTCGAGGAGCCGGATATAACTTCGGGGTCATCTCAAAGCTGAAGTTCAAAGCCAAGCCACTGACGCACCAAGTCTGGTACGGGACAATCGTCTATCCACGGTCCGCATATCAGTCAGTTCTCGAAACGGTCGACAAATGGAGCCTGACACAAAAACCAGAGGACATGGTCGCTATTGTTATCACGACATTGGTACCAGCAACTCGAGGTGAGGAGGCAATGCTCGCCATTGTGTACCACCATGGCTCCTCCGAAGACCAATTCAAGGGTCGATTCGGGAACTTTTTTGATATTCCACACTTGGGGTCCAATACCAGGCCCTGTTGGGCCCACGAAACAGCCGACTTTTTCCCTGAGTCAATCTGGCCTCGCACCAACCGCCTTTCGGACGGCACTCTTTTCACTCGTCTAACACCTCAGCTTTGGCTACCAGTTATTGATAGACTTCGTGAGTGGTATAAGAAAGACGACCGGAGAGAGTTGGGGACCCAGCTCTTCCTTGGCCTGTACAACTGGACAAAGGTGATCAACGAGAATGCCGGGAAGGCTACCGCGTGGCCCCCGTCACGAGCCCGTCCTGAGGATCCAGAAGGATTGAACTGGAAGGACATGGCTCTCTACGTTGGGTAAGATGATTCATTCCAGCTCAGGAGCAATGACTAACGAGAAGCCGCGATGTAGGTATGGAGATGAAAAGGAAGCCGAGGAAGCCACCAAGTTTGCATTAGGGCTTGTTCAGTTTGCACGCGAGAAACACGAAGAAATCGTTGGAGGAGATATCATTAAGGGGATGGTGTATCCAAATGCGGGCGCCATGCGTCAGCACTCCGGACAGTACATGTATAAGGAGCACTATCCGCAGTTACAGGTGCTGAAAGGGAAGTACGATCCCTTGAATGTGTTCCATAAGAAGCATCCTATTGAGCCTTCTCTCTAAGGCCTTGGTCTTGGTCTTAAAACAGAGGTCAAATATACTAAGGAAAGGTAGTTTATATAAATATACACACATATATATATATTGTGCTTGAATCGCCATTAAGCAGCGGCATTAATCCATCGTGCAAAGCTATCCGCCGACGGGCCAACATGTACCAGCTCCTTTAGCCTTCTCTTGTTGATCTTGTAACCAACGTAAGGGTACTTCTCTACGAAATAAGCTCCACCCGAGAGCCTCTTGAACTTGCCCAGCTTAGTCTCAACGTAACCCTCCAACTCCTTAGCCAGGTTATCCAAAGCCAAAGACCTTTCCTCAGTGTTTAAATTGTGGCTTGGTGTCGCGTCGGGCTGAAGTACAACAAATGCCGTAGGATGCTCCTGTTGAGTCTCTTGGTCACGGATCCCCACCACTACGGCTGTTGCTACGGCAGGGTGGTCGAAGAGAACAGCCTCAAACTCGGCCGCCGAAGCATGGGTACCGTAGCCATCACCAACACGAAGTAGCTCTTTCAACCGGTCAACGATGAAGACATTGGAGTTCTCATCCACGTATCCAACATCACCAGAATGGAACCAGCCATCAGCGTCAAAGTCTTTGTTAGCCTCGTCATTATCCTTGTAGCCGGCGAAGCGAGCAAGAGTGTTCCGCACAAGAATCTCTCCTTGCTCGTTGTGACCAAGATCCTTCCCAGTCTCGATGTCAAGCACCCTGGCTTCGAAACCATGAACAAGGGTACCACTTGATCCTGGCACAGATGATGCCTCATCGACCTGGAGGGTGATGAGGAGAGTTTCTGTCGTTCCCCATTCGAGAGTGAGGCGGACACCATTGAACTTATCTTGAACGGCATCCCTGATCTTTGTATGAACAGGAGCTCCAGCAGATAGAAGCCATTTGATGCTCTTGTAAGTGACCCCAACCTTCTCTGACTTTGCTATCTGAGCTGCGAGAGGCGGGGTGACGAAAAGGAAGGTGATAGCATACTTGTCAATTAGATGGAAGGTAGATTGATCGAAAGGCTGAGTGAGAATAATGACAGGAATCCCGAGGAGAATGTTCAGACCAAGGTTCAGCTTTGCATTGATTCCATAGGCGAAAGGCAGAGAGGAGAGCCAAACGTCTTTCTCTGGATCTGTGTCGGAGGGTACAGTCAGACGGGTTGTCAGGAGATTGGCAGCCCAGTGAGCATGAGTTGTGAGGAATGACTTGACGTTGCCTGATGATCCACTGGTACGGTAAATGAAAGCATAGTGATTCTCAGTTTCCTCGTGGGTGGACAGCCTGAATCCATTGAAGAGCTCATCTTGTTCAGCAAGAAGCTCCTCGACGTTGCTGATTCCCTCAGAAGAATTGTCGAGGCTAATCAGAGGAATACCATTGAATGCTTCGGCTGCCGGCTTTGTGATAGATGCCAGCGTTGAGTCAGTTATGATCAACTTGGCGTCAGCCTGTTCAAGTCTGGGAATAATTGCCAGAGCATCAAGTCCTTGCTGAACAGGGATTGGAGAGATTGTAGCCCCAGCTGCCAGTGCCGCAAAGAATGCAATGGGATAGTTTATCTCTCAGACGTTAGTCAATCAATCGTGTAGACGGGAGGATAAGGTTGGCTCACAGAGTTGTTGGCCAGAAATGCAATAACATTATTAG